TCCCCCGAGGGGGGGAACGAGGTGGCGATTACCCGATAGGCTAGTTTTATCAATTCACAATTTTTTGACTATACGTCGTTTATCAGTTTATTCAGCAGCTTAATTTCGCCTACTCCTCAACCGGAACGGAAGTTGCATTACTCTTCCCCGGAAGAGGACCACCTCTTCGCCACAGGTGACCACTCCTGGATTGCCAGACCTTCCACGCAGAACTCCTTTCATCGAGGATTGGCGGCTAAGCCTTTCATCATCAGTTTTGTGCTTGCGCACGAGTTTAGGACTGTGTCCCTTCATTAGCTGCTCCGGAGAGCTTAGTTGCGGAAGACTGCGTGGTAGGCATGATACCCCTCGTGAGAGAAGACCAGTGGCGCTCCAGGAAACAACAGAGAGAAACAAGCAGAGAGCTGAGACAAGCGATGATGGTCACACTGCGACGAACCTCTAGGCTTCCAACATGACTCGTTGGAGGTGCCCGGGAATTTATATTCCCAAAGCTTATATATTGAAACTACTCTATGAACAACCACTTGCGAGAATCATCTACCCTAGCGCCATCTTCTGGATTTTATGGAAAAATAGACAAAATCAATAAATTTAAAATTTAAAACTTTTCTATTTTTTTTTTATTTCTAATTATTAGTGTATAAATTTTTTTACTAAATAATAATAATAATAATAATAAAATAATAACAAAAATTATTTTTTTATAAATGCAAAAAAATTTATATTGAATAAAAATTAACAAAAAAAATTTCTAAAATTGAAAAATTCATTTTTTTTTTCGTCAATTACACAAATAAATATTTTTTTGGTGTAATCAATCAAAATAAAAGCACAAATCATTTAATAAATAAAAATGATACTTTTTTTTCATCATATTTATTCTATAAATTAAAAAAAAAAATATATTTTTCAATTTAAAAAATTGTATTTTACACCTAAAATATTGATTAAAAAAAAAGTTTCTTTAATTTAATTTTTATAATATTTTATAAGTAAAAAAAAATTTTTAAATAAATTTTTGTTTAAAAAGCTTAACAAAATCTAAAAAATGTCACCATGATTCATTTATCATTAAACGAATAATTTTTTTATCATATAATAAAAGACAATAATAATTTTGTCGCTTATAAATTTTTATTTTTTATTTTTCTTTTTATTAGATTAAATTAGCTTCATTTATGCAAAAGCCAAACTTAGAAAAAATACATGATACATACTTAATTTTAATTTAATCATACATTAGATATCAACTTACCTATGTAAGTGATACAAATGGACAATGATTTTTTTTTTTAATTTTAATATTGCGTTTCCTTATGAACTATTTATGACCCAATATTCAAGCTACAAAATTTGCACATAAATAAAACAGTAAAAAATAATTCCCAATTTAATTGCGTAGATTTAATATTACAATTTTAATAACGCGATTTAGCCAATAAAAGTTTACAAAATTCAGTTTAAATATCTAAATTAAATAAATAATAATATATATGTTCTTTTTAAAGATCTCTAGGCTCGTTAAATTTACAATTTCTGCCGGTAATTTCTCCCACATACATATTACAGTTGCAAAAGATTTTTCCATTATTAATCCATAAAATAAGAATAAATTAATTTGTATTAATTAGAAGACTCGATAGTTAATTAAATTAATCGGATCTTAAGAAAATAAGATCTGTTAAAGAAAGTATTTTTGATCCAAACAGAACATCTTTCATTCGGAAGAGAAGCTTTCAAAGTGTCAAACTTAAGCTTGACGATTATATATATATATAACTCCTAAAGTCGAAGCATTCTTTGATTTTGTAGACGGCGCTGAATCTAAAGGAGTTGTAAGAGAAATGATAGAAATTTTGATAGACTATACTAAAAATTATAATAACGATTACAAAAATTGCGTCGCGGATTTTATAAAGGCGGTCAATAATCAAGTAATTAAAGAAAAAATAACTTTTACTGGACCTGTTTCTTTAACGACACAAGCTATATGGCTGTCATGCTCTCCTTTGGTAGAAGAATTTAAAATATCTTCTTTAACAGTTAAGTTTTATAACGCTCTCGGTATTCATGAGTGACTTTAATTGAATTATTTTATTATTTTATATAAGTGTAATTTATACCTTTTTTATGTGTTAGAATTTTTGTTAAAAAAAATTGTTATAGGGAATTTTTAATACGCTATTAATTAAAAAAAGAATTAAAACAAAATTTATGTAAAATTGGATGAATTTTTCAATACCAAAAATTTTAATCAAAAAAATAAAATTTTATCACTGAAGTTAATGAAAAATAAATTTTACAGGCTTATCCTTTGATAGAGAAAAAATTAAATGGCTCAATTACTGCTGGGTACTACTTATACGAATAATTTGTTGAAAGTTAGTCAATTGGTTATTAATTTAGAGCTAATTGCAATCTAATCAGTACTTTAATTTATATATAATATATATATATAAACTCTTTATTTTATATATAAAACGATGTTGTAGATATTGCAAAAAAATATGGCTGTCAATGCAAATTATTTGCAGATGATAAGATGTTATATTACAGCGCTAAGAATGAAACAGAAATAGAAAATGTTTTAAATAAGACACTAGAGGATCTTGGAGTGTGGCTTAATGTTAATTCACTTAAACCAAATGTTAAGAAGACTGTTTGTATGCTAGTTAGAGATAGAAGAAAAAGGAATGTTAAAAGTTTAGAATTGTTTTTGGCAGGGGAAAAGATTGTGCAATGTAGTCAAACTAAATACTTAGTGATTTTTTATAGTCATACATATTATATTATTAAAAAAATTAATACTAGAATTAATTTGATGTACAGACTGAGTAGTTATGTAAGTGATTACACAAAAGTATTAATTTACAAATCGATGATCGCTCCGTATTTTGACTATTGTTCAACTCTTTTGATTAATATTAATGAGGAATATGTGTGAAAAAATTACAAAAATGTCAGAATAAAGCGGTGAGAATAATATTAAGAGTAAATAGATATACGCCAATTAGATGTATGCTAGATGCACTATGTTTTCTGTCTGTTGAAGAAAGAAAGAATTAAATTTAATGTGTGTGTATGTGTGTGTGTGTGTTTGTATATAAAATGAAAAATAACTTGTTACCAGAATATTTAAATAGAATTGTTGTTAAGAATGAACATAATTATAGTACAAAATACAAAAATAGATTGTTGGTACAAAGAACAAGAACTGTGAGTGCTCAAAAAACAATAAATATGTATGGTTTTTCATTATTTAACAAGTTAAATATAGACACAAAAAATGCAAGAAATTTAGTAATTTTTAAAAAATTGTTAAGAAAAGAAATAAGAGAAGGAAAAATTTAAAATGTAGACAGGAAGCAAGTGTTGATCTGTAATAAAAGATCTAAGATCTTTTATATAATTTTTATGTATATATTGTTGCTTGAAGCTATATAAATAAAGAAACTATTATTTAATAATAAATTAAAAATAAAAACTTATAATGAATGGCTCAATTTTTTGATAGTGTCCTATAAAAAAATTTTTCGTAATTTTAAAAGTAAGAGTGATAATTATCACTAAACAAAATTTAAACCTTTAATTATAAATTTTAAAATTGCAGCCAAACATTTTTTTTATAAAATTAAATTTTTAGCAACTTTTGTTTAAATCATTTTTTATAGGACCAATATTTTCGACTTAATATTAAAAATTTGAATAATTTATTTCAAAATTGCGGTAACAATTTTAGCCCTACTTATTATTTGTACGACGAAAAACCATTCGGTAGATAGAACTTGCGCAATGTATCAAATAAATTAAATTTCTCTGAACAATATTTATAAAGCTCTTGGGATTTAAATAATTAAAATTGATGTATATATGTAATAATGACAGAATAGTATTAGATATTTTGGGGTTCAATCTCACTTTCCTAATTTTTTTTCAAAACATTGAATATAATTATTTGATATAAGTTACTGATTAATAAGCAAATTGTACTATTTATTAATAAATGTGCATACTATTTTGTAACTAACTATTTTGTTATTGGCCGTTGGCTGTTAGGTCTTGTTCAAAGAAATAAATAAAACAATTATATTTTTTTAAATTACTTTTATTCATTTAAAATGGCAGAGCGTGTTGATAATTGAGACCTGACATTTACAAATAATTCAAGTGCCAAAAATAATAAAAATTATTGCATAATTGATATTATTTTTCACCAAAATATTTAACCGATAATTAAAAATTTTTTTCCAATAAATTAATTATTAAACCAATCTATAAAATAGCACTTGAAAAATTAAATACCAGACCACAAATATTTTCTTACATCTTATAGCGAGCTTAAACAATATCCATCGTTTTTTATTATGATTATTCTTACACACCGAAATATAATAGTAATTAAATACTAAAGCTAATATAAATTTCCAGTCAACTACTGTATTTTTAACAATTAGCTGTGTTCTTTAATATTGATCACAAATTTTTGCTTCAAAGCTTTAAAAAAAATTTTTTTTTTTTTTTTTTAACAATGACAGAATTTCAATAAATATTTACATTTAACTCGAAAAAGTGTACTTTAGATAAATAAATTATTTTATAGACGAAAAATGAACAACACATTTTACATATAGTGCGCATTGCAATAATTTGTCACATTTATTGTTATGTATTATGCTTATATTATGTTTAATATTAATGATGATGATAATAGTCAATACTAATTGATAATGCACAAAAATAATTGTAATATAAAATTTATGATTTTTTTTTAAGTGATAAAATAAGTAATTAAAAAATAGAGCCCACCTTTTTGTCTAGGTGCGCAAAAGCGGTATAATACATTTTTAAAGCGTAAATAAAAGACTAGAGAGAGCATCGTGTGGCAAACTTAAATAATATTGAGCTACTGTTCTCATAAAGTTTTTTTTAATTATTTTTATGGTAAAAATATATATTACTATAAAATAAAAGTCAGAAAATAATTGAAATAATTTTGATCAGTGATACTTAAATTAAATTTAAAAAAAACTTTTTGAGAATGTCAATCTTAGAAATAAATTGTTGATAATACACAGCGGAATAAAGCAAATTTTTATATATATAAATATATGTTTGTTTGATGATAAGTTTTAAATGCAGTACAACAATGGTTGCAAGCACGAAATGGCAAGAAGTTTATAATTCAAATAATTATTATCTTGTTTTCTTCTTTTCTTGGTAATGCAGTCAAATTTATTAAGTTGGACACAAAACTGAAACAAAAAATTATTTTTTTTTTTTTTTAATAATGTAAATTATTGTTAAGTTTTAATTTTTTTAACTTACCTTTTAAAATATAGTCAGTCAATAATGTTGGGACTGTTGGACTGTCTTCATTGATAGCTTTCAATACTGAAAAAAAATTAATAAATTTATTAATGTCTAAATTAATTATTTATTCTTTAATTGATGTCAATAGTGACAATACACTGAGAGAAAAAATTTATTTTTAAATAAATAAAAATTTTAATGACAATAAATTAATTTGTTTAAAATTTTAAACTATTTTATTTCTTAGCTGAAGAAATAAAAATTTTTTTTAATAGACTTTTTTACCATATATGTATGCAAATATATATATTTAATAAATTGATAGCATGTTACATCTGAATTAACATTTTCGTGATTTTTTGCTATTAAGTTATTTTAAGATTAAAGAACAAGAAAGATACTAAGTCTTCACTATTTTAAGTATAAAAAAATCAATTATACAATTTCAAAGGTTAAACTAAGATTTGAAGAATTGTCAGCAAATATTTTGCCAGATTGAACTATTTTAAACTTTTTACAACTTAAAATCTTTCAAAATTCTTTTTAGAAATTTCTTATTCCTTAAAAATTAAAAGTTTAAACAATAAATATTGAAACTTTAAAAAAATTCACCGAGTAAACTTAATAAGTTTTTTGGCACAATTCTTTGAAATAATTTCTAGGGCATGTAAGTTCTCAATTATTTATACCAGCCAGTCACGTAGTTTCTGTATTTGCTATCAATTTACTTTCTCAAACAAGATAAAAAATTTTTGTTTTTCTTTAATAATAATCTATTGCAAAATAAAAATAAAATTTAGATCAATATTAGATCCAAGATTTTCGCCTAATATATTAGTAATGAAAAAATTTGTTGTAAAGATGTTAAGAAAAATTTTGATTTTCTACCAGAAATGTCTCTTATATAATTTATTTATACGACCAATATTTTTACCATAGTTTCTCAATTAAAATTCATAATAAATTATTCAAATTTTCTCTAATTATAAAAATCTAAATTTTGAAATAACAGCTTTTTTATTAATGTCTTAAGAAAAAATTATAATAGATAATTATAATTAAATAAATTATAAAAATTATTATATTAAAATTATAAATTATATCCATTAATTATTAATGATAATTTTGAAATTACGGCAAAAATTCTAGACCTCTATATTAATTACTAAAAATACCAAAAAAATTTTTTTCTAATATTTACTTTTAATTAAAACTTGTAGTGCTTGATTATTTGGCGGACCATTGTCTGTATGATATGGTATGACTGTGGTGAGATATTTAGATTCCTGAAGAGATCTGTGCTGGGGCAAGGGGCTGGTTCCATTGCTGCGCTTCTTTGTGACATGATGCTGCCGGCGTCGATTTTGCACAGCGAGAAGCAGAGAAATAAATTGATTCTTCAGCTCTTTTTCGAACTCCAGTTCATCCCTGAGAGCCAGCTCGGCAATCAATGTTTCGCTGAGCGCACCCACCAGAGCTTCCATTTCTCCCAGCAGTCCAATCAGCTCGTTAGATGACAATTGCTTTAATTCTGTCAGTAATATCCCAATTAAAATAATTCCTTGCAATTTACAATATAGAACATTTCCTGTATTTTAAATCAGAAAATTTTAATTAAATAATTTATACGCACTTTTCTCGTACAAAGGTGAACCGAGAACTTCGCGACTTCGTTCCAATACTTCATCGGTATCCAGCATTGATCCGTCAGTATCTGGTGACCTTTCCATCGATGGGCTTTCCTGTTGATTTAATTTTATTTTATTGTTCATGTTTTTACGTTTAATTCGGTGACAATTTTTTTTTCCGAAAAAATATGTGAAAAAATTTTCGGTCGTCATTCTTAATTTAAGTGAATTATATATACCTGCATAATGTCATCTATTTCACGCAGCACTTCTTCAGCGGTCTTCAATGGCTCTTCAGGACTATGAGTCGCATCGGTGCTACTTGATAAAATTAATGCATGCATATCTAAATCTGTAGCTACTGCTTCATCTTCGCTGCTTAAATCATCCATTTCGGGTCTAAAAAATATTTTTAATTATTAATACAACTTATTTTGGTGATCATAAAAAGATAAATTTTATTTACTCAAGAGAAAAAATCTTTAACTGAAGAAGAAGAAAATTATTTTTAAATAATTTATTTTTTGCAGATAGTGCAAAAAAAAATTTTTAATTACAGATTAACTACAAATCTGATACAATTTAATACAATAAAAATATATCAAAATTAATCCCTAGGAATTTATTTTTTAAAAATGATAATTGAAACTGTAATTTTTTTTTTTTTTTAAATAAAGAAATTCTTAAAAATAATTTTCTTCTTGGCTAAAAATTTTTTCTTTTAAAATTAATTTAAGTTTTTTGCAAATTTATAACTTTAAAACCATTAATTTTATGTAATTTATAATTAACATTAAAATAAAAATTAAATTTTGAATTTAAATATTCTTAAACAATAAAATAGTAATTTTAAAAAGCTTTAAAAAGCATATTCACACATTAGCAAAATGACAAAAATGACATGAAAAATAATAAGTGACATTCTAAAAACTTAATTTTATGTCAAAAAAAAAAATATCAAACAATTTTTTAATTTATTAAAACTTTTACAAATTGGTTTTACACCAGTTGAAAAAATGTTTTGGAAAAAAAAACTTTGTTAAGTAATTTAAAAAAAAAAAAAATTAGTCAATTTAAAATTTTTTAATTGTTCAATTATAATTATTAATGAAAGTTTTTTTTCAATATGAGGTGTATCCAGTTGTTTAAGTGTGTTAGTATTAGTATGTAGTAAAATAAATAAAATAATTACTTTTCCAATGATTCAACTGATGGCTCGTTAAGATTAAGCGACGGCAAATGCATTTTTCTAGCGTACGATTTACTCCAATCAATTGGTAAAATACTTCCAAATGTACCAGTTATTGTCCACCACATCCTTAAATTTAAAAAAAAATTATTAATATCATTATCATTATAATTAATTATTATTTTTACCAATTGAAATAATCCATTTGTTTAATAGATCATTTTAAAATGTAAAGTTTAGAAATTTTTTAAAATTCCGATTAAAAATTAAAATAAAAAGTAAAATGTTCATGTTAAATAATAAATACACCCTACTTATAATTTCAACTATTATTCACAGAGAGAGAGTATAAAAGAAACGGCTCTAGTGGAAGAAGAAAAAAAAACTAAACCATTCTTTATTCTTTTGCAGTGAATAATAATAATAATAATAATAATAATAATAATAATCAGCCATTTTTGTACCATGGGAATTTTAACTTGCATATTATTGAAACAGTTCTCATAACTATTATCAATATTTATAATAACAATGAATTTCTTCAAGTATTTAATTAACATTATTACGTAAGACTGATTAATATGAAATGCAATAGATAAATAACTAGTACAATAAAAAACATAATAACTAAATAATAACAAAGAAATGTTTTTTACAACTAAAATCTCTTATTACAATCAACCGCATTTATCAACCAATACCGATTTTTCGTTCCACATAAATTTATATCCATCCCTATCATTATAAACTTAACACCAGCGATAAAATACTTCCGTAATAGTTTTCTTTGTTGCTTTTTAATCTCTTTTGTACTTGAATATTCATCAATGCAAATACAAACTCATAGTTACCATAAATTAAATATCAAAAACTAAACACAGAAAATAAAGATAAATTTAATAAGACTCAAAATAATTCCCGACATTAAGCAAAAATAATGTTTTTCCTCTCCAAGAATAAAATTTCATGACATTAAAGTTAACACTCGATAATTGTTTAATTTTATTTAATAAAAAAATTGCATTTATAGTTTTTAAAAATTTCTATATGTCAATATTTTTTTCTCATTTTTTTTTCTATAATTTGTTTATTAGAAAAATTATTAAATATCTGCTAAATTTATTTTCATAAAAATTTCTCAAAAAAAGTGAAATTAAATGTTCAAATATGAGCAATAAGATGCTGGGAATTGAAATAAAGTATGACGGTTTAATTTTATGGATTGAGGTCAATCTCGCTCATTTCTCGCATTAATATATATAAAATACCAAGTCACGTGATTCATCTCGCTACTACTATACAAAATAAGCAGGAAACCGTGACGCGTGTCTGGTGTGCAGCAAAATAATAACAATAACTTAATAACACACTGTTAATGACAGAGAGGAGCAAAAGCGCAAATTATCTTCAGGAAATGCATCAATAAAATTATCCCTTCGTACAAATAAATTTATACTTTCAACCAATTACTATAATTTCTTCCCATGCCCTAGATTATTAATTATGTGATTTATCAATCATCCTCAATAAATATTTATTCATTATTCTTTATAAAAAATAAATCCCATAAATTTATTTCTTCTTTAAAAAGGAAAAATTTATTTCTTCTTTAAAAAGCATAAATTTATTTCTTCTTTAAAAAGCATTAATTTATTTCTTCCTTCTAAATCTCTTAACAAAAAAAAATCTTAAGGCCGAAAAATTTTAAATCCTCATAATAATAAATAAAATAAAATAAAATATTAATCCACTGAATTGAAAGCATTGATGCGCGCACGCGCGTTAATATTGACGTTGTATACGAATACGATGGGACGAGTATTCTTACGCTACTTGTATATATATATATATATACATACATATATATGAATAACAACAAATACAAGCAATATATGACCATATGTTAAAATTATGCAATTGAAAATAACGTTAAAAAGTTACGCAATAAAAGTTGTAATTTTATCGAAAAAAATATTCGAATAATTTATCAAATAATATTGCAGTTTAAAAAAAATATTTTATCATGACCCCATCATCTCTTATAACTGATTACGCATCAGTTTAAAGTATCAAGCTTAATTTACTTCGTTAAGAGCAATTAATTTTTATTAATGCATTAAAACAAACATTTTTAATATTGGAGAATTTAAAGAAGAAAGAGAAAAAAAGTTTAATTTTTTTTTGTGCAGTTGCAGGTGTAATTTTGAGCTCGGTGAAGCGACCATCGTATGGATGAGAGTCTATATCCTATATCCGTGTAAATGTATATGTATATATACATATATATGGGTGTGTATTGGTGTATAAGGACCGGAGGGTCGAGTGCGAAAAATACCTGCTTTAAAACGTGTTTCGGTTGGGTGATTTAAAGCCTTGCGATTATGAGCCTATTCATTTTCGAAAAATAAAATTCTTGCTGGGATAAAAAATAATTGAAGCTTTTTTTTTTAACTTTTATTAATAATAAATAAATAAATTTTAGTTTTAATGGTAATGATAATGAACTTACTGGCATTCGTTCATTATTTCTTCTTGTGTCCTTACTTGGACGGGAGCAAGAGTTTCAACATCAGTAGCATAATCTCGAAAGCAAGATGTTATTTTTTCATCAAATGTATTTACAAGATCTTCAAGACTCCCACTAAACGGGCTGAAAGTCCCTTCTTGGAGTATATCTGTCGTTGTTGTTGTTGTTTCGTGTGTCGGCGGTTCATTGGCATTACAATTTTCACCAAAGTTAACATCCAAGCTAGCGTCCAATAAATGTTCTACTTAAAAATTCAAAATAAAATTATTATTATTATTATTATTATTATTATTAAAATAATATATACTATTTTTCTAAAATAAATATTTCTAAGAACAAAATATCTAAAATATTAAACTAAAAGTTTTATATTTTTTATTTATTTATATATTTAATAAAAAAAAATTCAACATTATTTTATAATACACTTTTATTGGAACTAGATATTTTCTTAATTTCAAAGCTATATTTAATTATAAAAAATTGTTTTTAATTTAGTTTGCTTCACTTTAGTCACTTTGTTTTTTTATTTTATGAAACCAAAAAAAAAAAATCATTTTACATTTAACATAAATTTGATTTTTTTTGTAATTTTATTTTTAACATTTTTTTTATTCAAACTAATTGTTAAATACAGAATTTTTTATTTAGCACCAAATGCAAGAATTTATTATTATTATTATTATTAAATTATTAATATACCTGTTAATAAATTCATATTTTTCAATGTCGCCGTATCTTCTTCTTCAAAACGTGCAAGAGGTGCCTCAAATTTTAATTCGGATATTTTACCCGCCATGTCCCTCATTATTGACTTATTTAATGGTTTTTCTTATTATTATTATTATTCTTTTATCTGATTTTCCTCAGAAACACACCCCCAAAAGCAATACTTCTTGTTTTCTTCAACTAATTATCAATTTTAAAATATAAAAAAAAAAACAATATTACTTCATCCGAACATTATTTAGACACTGGCGACTGTTTTAAGTCAAAAATAGATTATAGTTTTTTAAATAAACATTTATCGGGAGGACTTTCCGCGGTGAAATTCACAGAACGACTGGTTCGACTGCTAGGCTTAAAAGAGGGGATGCTTAACTCCCAGTGACTCAGAAGGGGGATACTCCATTACACCCAAACTTGTCTATATATACTCCTATTTATGGCTATATATGTCCAATAGTTGGAGGGGAACATCAGACCATTTGGAGCCAGATCTTTGACGTATAAACCCGAAGTGCCATCGAAAGAATTTTAGAAAAAAATTAAGATTTTTTACCAAAATATTATCAATTGATTAAATCAATTATTAAAAATTGATCAATTATTTTTTCAAAATTAACTTTTAATTGCCAAATACTCAAAATTAATTATGCAAGGGAGTTTTTTTGGATCATACACTCCTGAACAATGACTGCAGTATCTACTGCAAGTAATTTTGCGGGTAAAATTATCAATTGTCGGTATTAAATACCGACAGTAAGACAGTATGGAATTTATCTTTTTTAGTATTTATTTCTTCTCGGATTAATTTATGTATAATTATTGCGCAGGTCGGAAAATTTGAATAAAAAAAGTTAAATACGCACATGATAAAAATAGAATTTAATTATGATGAAACTGGCTGTAAAATTAAAAGGTAAAGATAAAAAATATTTCTTATTACAATTTTATAAGGGTTGGACTTAAAAATTTTTTTAAATTTTGTTACGCTTGATTTCTTCGAGTTGTTTTTAAATTTAGAGGGGCGTTATTTATAGTTTGTCTTACTAATGTCTAACAGTGTTCTGTTATCAGTTAGTCTTATATTATTTGAGCGGAGAAATGCATTGTTTGCGCCAGTATAGTACAAATTTATAAAGGTTACTTGCTGACATTTGAATAATGTGAGTCAAGTGTTTATGTTAGTTTGTCCTTTATTTTTCTCTATGCACGAATAAAACAATCCGGAATTGGATAATCAACATGAAAATGTCTTGTAGGAAATATAGTATGTAGAACTCAGGCCTACTAAACTTTCGTGAACTCCATACACTTGTTTTAAACATTTAATGATTGAAAAATATTTATTGCCGCTTTTTTGATTGGTCTTTTTTTATATTTAATAAATAATTTATTTGTATAAATAATATTTTTAATGAGTAATGAGAGAAAGTTGAGATTTTATTACTGTATCAGGCTCATAAATTTGTTTTATTAATTTTCATGGCCGTTTTTATCGAACAATTGACACATTAGTCAGAAAATAGGCTAGTCGTTAAATAGAACAACAGTAGAATTTTTTTAATAAATATTGATAATAATAAATGTGTAATTTTAATGAAAAAAGTTTGAATAAAAAAAAAATTTGTTAGAAAATTAAGACGAAGAATTTTTTACTGTGATATTATTAAAAATTAAACTTGAATTTTTTGTAAGGACAAAAAAATTTTTAAATTAAAACTTAATTTTTACCTAAATAAATTATTAATGAAAAGTTCATTTAAAAATTTTATTCTGAATCTTCAATTTAAAATTAATATTAATAACAAAAAAATAAGATTATTTGGCAGCTGAAATGGACGTAAATTTCTCAAAAAAAAAAAATTTTATAAAATAATATTAATAATAATATATAACTTCTGGTACAATAAAACAATGACATCAAAACGAATGCAAAAGTAAAATTTCATTAGTTCCGTCTGAGAGAGTAGGTCATTTTTGGTCTAGACTGATGGTGAGGTATGCAAATTAAAGTTTATTTAATTTAATAAGCTTTAAGATGCAATTTACAAAAATGTTACAAGTTATCGCATTCATTACGTATTTCGCAAAGAAAAAGTAAAAGTTTCAATTTTTGAGGATTTTGAAGAATTAAAATTTTTGTCATTCCTAAACTATTTAATTAAGAAAAATATATATAAGTATGCAAATTAAAGCCTATTAAATAATTGATATATTATCAATAATTGTTATGTACGGAAATACAATAAAAGTGAAAATTTTTGTAATTTTTGAAAATTTTTGAATTGCTGTAATTTCTAAACTAATCGACCGATTTCGCTCATCTTTGAACTTAACCTCGTAAATCGTCCTAAGAATGAGTACGTCACGTTTTATTAAGATCCGTATAGAATTGCGGGAGTTCGAGAAGAGACAAGGCCAATTATATCGTGTAAATATATATAAACTTTTTGAACCGTGTGCATTCTCTAAATTCTATATTCAATTTCTATGAAATCTACTAAAAATTGATCAACATTGGATATAGTTAATTTCATTAAATTAAAGAGGACTAGCAACCTTGCAGTCACTATTTGACTTCCGTGACTTGTGAACTATAAATAAATAAAATTTTGCTTTATTAAATAATGACTTTTCTTTAATAGCACTGTAATTTCTTAAATATTGACGTTTTTAAAGATATAAACTCAGCCCGATGTTACACTCGTCAAAAGCTTTCATTTGAGTACCCACATGCATTTTGATATATTTTTCATATATATGGTATATATAATATATATAAATATATGAAAAATTGATGTGGGTACTCCAATAGAAGGTTTTGATGAGTGTAACATCGGGATGAGCTTATATCTTTAAAAATGTCAATAGTTTACGAGATACAAGGTCATTTCTTAATTATTGACATTTTTTAAGATATAAACTCATCCCGATGTTACACTCATCAAGAGCTTTTATTTAAGTACCCACATGGCATTTTTTATATATTTTATATATATGGTATTTGTGGAATATATAAATATATGAAAAATTGATGTGGATACTCAAATGAAAGGTTTTGATGAGTGTAACATCGGGATGAGCTTATATCTTTAAAAATGTCAATATTTCACAAGATACAAGGTCATTTCTTAATTATGTATCCAGAAATAGAGCATTTTCGAATCCAGAAATTTTGCTTATTCTCTTAATAATATAGATTATTTTAGAAAAAAAAAAAATTTATAAAATTGAAAGATTTTATTCAAACGAAGTAGAATTATTTCCAATGTCAAATAAAAACAATAAATTATTATAATAAATAATTAATTGCTCCTATAAATAAAATAAATTATCAGTACAATAATTAAGTCATATCTATATACAATATACATATAAGTTCACAAGTTTATTCATACACATTACACGTATAAATATATATTTAAACCAATATAACGATTAAATTGTTACAAGGTTCGCAAATCGATTGTTCCCGATAAAATAAAACCTACGTAATATAAAAATCTCCAGCTCGTGAAGTATATATATGTATAAATATATCAATGTTAGGACCCTATAAACAATCACTTTTCCGATCGATTAATCCGAGATAATCTTTTAATTAAAAAAAAAATAAAACAAACTAAAAAAATAGTTCGAATGACTCAGCCGATAAATCAGTATGGAGAAGTCATTTATCAAGATCGGTGGTACACTATTGAGTCCATTTTATTTTTTTTTTTCTTATAAAGTTACACTCCAGTAAAGCTGGTAATTGGTGGCCACTTAGAAAAAATAACTAAATAAATTATAATAATAAAAATTACTAAACCTTTCTAATTATTTAATAATTGCTGTTTTACACACGTAGAATTTTTAATTTGGGGGAAAAAAATGTTTTTTAATTTATAACAATTAAATTAAAAAAAGTGTGAAATTTAATTAATTAAAATATATCCATTTATCTGTAAGATGTGCAGATAGTTTAATTAATTTATCGAGTATATTAACTTTTAGTACCCTATAATCATGATAATCAACCGCTCTTACATTTATCAGTTTAATAATTATTTACTGCATAATTTATTATTTTTCAGCACTATAATAATTATAGGCAGTAAAATTATACATTTTAAAATTTATTTATAATTTTTTTTTTTTTTGATGAATTATTAATCGATTTCGACGTAATCCATTAATATTTATGGAAAATAGAGAATTGATACTGATTATTATTATTTACTATCACGATAAAATTATAGAGTAAAATGAGGACGTTTTTATTATGATTTTTTTATTTAATCTTTAGGTCGTTGATTTAAACATTTTTTTTTATCAGTTTCAAGTAAATTGTTGGGTGACGCCAATCTAGAAAAATTCTTAGGATCTCTTGTATTTTTTTTCATTTTTCTATCCTGAAAAATTTATCAATGAAAAATAACTTCCTGGATTATGAAAAATATTTTACTTTTAATTTTAAAAATTTCAGAAAAATTAGCGATTATGTTATTTTTTTTTTTTTTTATAGGAAAAATATTATAATTTTCTCTAAATATTTGTTTTTTACCGCAAAAATAATTAAATAAAATTAAATAATTTATTCACACTAAGTTACGGTAAGTTTATTTGTCGTAAAAAGTTAATTGTTTATTCATTTAATTTTCTAATTACAAACCACAAAAATTAAATAGAAATTAACCAAGTTAACTTTTAATAATCGTTCCTTAAACTACACGACGGAAAATTTATGGTAATATCTACCTAAAATGATGGTAAAATTCCGAATATTGACATGATGGCAATCACTGTGATCACTGATCAGTATCATTAATCATCATGATTATAATCTTAGACATTAATCATTGTAATACAAGCTAATACTAGTTATCGTCGCGGATGGAAAGTGAAGCCGATAACCATTGGTAATGGTCCATTACCATCAACAGATGACATCGATTATCATCTTGAATTTAGAAACATTATAAACACTTGATTGTATTTAGATATTTGTAATTTTTTCCGTAGTAAATACATTCAATTTTAATTTAAATAAATTTAATAGTTTGTATATAGATAATAATGTGCTTTACATTACTGATACCGCGTTACATACGCTGTATAAGAGTGTATAGGTCGGCAAAAATACCATATTGAAAAAACATAAGGCCAAATAAATTTTTTTTTTTTTTTAATTAACGTGATTATGTTTTAGAAATATAATACTGCAAGAAAAATGTATTTTTTGGAAAATTTGAATTTTTTTTTTTCAAAATTTGATTATTTTTTTTAATTAAACATTTTTTCAAATAATTACTTGTTGCTATTTTTAATTCTTTTTCAAAATTTCAATTTTTTTTTTAAATTGAATTATTCCAAAAATCTGATATTTCTGATTAAAAAATCTGATTATTCAATATTTTGTTTTTTTTTTCAAAATTAAAATTTTTTTGTCAAAATTTAATTAATTTAAAAATCTGGTTTTTTTTTTTTTAATTTTTTTTTCAACTACCAAAAAAAAGTTCTCCAAAATTTTATACTAACAAAAATTGATTTTTCAAAATTTTGTTTTTTTTTTTTATCCTAATAATTATTATTATCTCAAATAATGAATATAATTTAAGGATAGAAATAGTTTACCATCCCCGTGATTTTATTCAATACCATCAAAAATAATAAAATTATATCATTAAAAATAATGAGCAATAGTAATTATTACCATAAATTTCTTAGCGTATTTAAATCACATAGTAAAAAACGTATCCTTAGTATAAAAAAATCCTTCCTTAATTTTTTTAAGACTAAAAAACATTAAAATAAAGAAATTAAAATTTGAAAAATTTCTATACCAATAAAAATTTTTTTCTCTACCATCAACATATTATATGTTAAATTGACACCTTACACGCGGACTTATACCTCAAAAAAAATGAAGCTGCGTGCGTAATAACAAATAAATGATCGCAAAGGACACAATACATAAAATATCAAGTATGCAATATTAATAAAAGCGTTAATCAATGGATATTGAATTTAATCGATCTCAATTTATTCAGCAAAGGGTTCGTAATCCGTGAGTTAAATAATAATGTAAGTACCAATTTAAACGAGTGCTATCACATACATTAGCTGATGCGTCCGGCTGCATCAGTTGACTCGTCGGGCGACTAGCATCCATACTAAAGCCAAACTCAAACTCAAGATATACAGATTGTCTTATCAGTTATCATTTATCACTTTCACTTTTTTACAATCTGTCGCGATTGAGCGAGATAATACGTAATTAAAATTAATCTAGACAAATTATCGGAATCGATAAATCTATAAGTCGGATTTTGAACCGATAACTTAAAATAGTTTTTCCTTAAAATATACAAGTTTTTTTTATAGAAATTGGCTAATAAATAAATAAATAAATAAATAAATAAATGAGCAATTAATTTGGTTACGTTTTGGGAATTTTCAGCTAAAAGTTGACTTTTTCTAAAGCTTTAAAAGGTACCACATTAAATAGTATTTGTTTTTTTTTTAGAAGTTGTCCTTGATTTTAATAGTTGTAAGCTATCCTCGACCTTCACTTAAACACACCTCTACCACGATCTTTGTCTACGTTATTCAAGGAATAAGGTAAATAAGGAATAACATTTTCATTAAATTACACATATACTTAACTATTTTTTTTTTTTTAATTCTGCGGTATTTATACTTTCAGTAGTATTTTTTTATTTCTGCAATGCTCTAGGCGATTAAAAATAGTTAATTAAATTTTGATAGCCATTCTCATTATTTTTATTGCACTCCTTTTGGGTCTAAGTGTCGAGCTGAGTTATTGGTTCGGTTTTATTGACGCAAACCAATCAGAATTCCGATAGAGGCAGTTCTATTATTTTTTATTCCAATAAAATCAAAATTTTTAGAGTTAATCGCTATTTTCAAAGCCGTCGTGCATGAATGATCAATTTCAAGGCGGTCCAGTGAGAAAAAGGGGCTGTGTATTATTTATTGTATTAAATTATAAATCATTTTTTTTTACTGAGTAATTTTTTATTTTTATTTATTGGTTTATTTAAGAAGGTTGGGATTTTTTGTTTATTCAAGATTCTAAAAAGAAAATTAAAGTAATCTAAAATTTTTTAAGAGTATTTCAGTTAAAAAAAAAAAAAAAGAATTACTTAAAAAAATTTTTATATTTTTTTTTTTCAAAATTTATTTTATCAAATTTTAATATCTATCGTTATTTGTAGAAAGTTATGGATAGGATTGATAATAAATAATGAGAAAATACAATATTATTATCCAGATAAAGTGATTCAAATAGAATCTTCATTTTTAAATTTTAGCAATTAATATTATTTTTTGTTATGGTTTGCAACTGTTAACACATCAATGGTTTACTCATTTAACAATCTATCTATTAAATTTATAATTAATATTAATATTGATAATATAGAATATTTATAATTAATGTAATTTTTTTTTTTAATTAATAGTAATACTAATATTATTATTGTATTAAATATGAAATCACTATGCTAGCTATAAGTCATCTTGTTATAAATCAAAAATTTTTCTTGTTTTTATATACTAACTGTTGTATTATTAACCCTGTTAATGGCCCCTAGGCTGTTGGGTTTGTTTATTTAAATAAAATAAAATAAAATAAAATAAAAGAATCGTATCGAGAGAAGTGTCGTTTCTTGACAGAGTTTAGTCGCAGACTAATTATAATGTTAAAACTATTTTACAGTGAGGTTTAAACCTCTGTATTGTTCTTAGTAAAACACATGTTTTTTTCTTAACTAAGACCTATTTGGTTGTACTGTACATAGTAAGATAAGGCGCCCTTTGTACAACTCAAGTACCTACAAGAATTTTTCTCTTGAATCAAGTTAATTTTTTTTTTCCGTGTAAGGTCATAAAATCAAGCCTATACAGGATTTCTTATTCTAGCTGCACAAATGTGCCTTAAATGTGGTTTTCACATTTAAAAGCTTATAAAATAAAATATATTATGTTTCTAAAAACAAAATATCTAAAATATAAAACTAAAAATTTTGTAACTGAGATTTATTTTTGCTCAGAAAATCCAACATTATTTTATAATATACTTTTATCGGAACTAGACATTTTCTTAATCTCAAAGGTATATTTAATTATAAAAAATTATTAATGTTATTCTCATTTTTATCCATGGCTCATAATACATTCAATAGGTTCTTGTTTTAAGGATTAAAAAATTATTATTAATTTAGTTTGTTTCACTTTTATTACTTTTTTTTCTTATTTTATGAAACCAAAAAAAAAAAATCATTTTACATTTAACATAAATTTAAGATAATTTTGATTTTTTTATAATTTAATTTTTAACATTTTTTTTATCCAAACTAATTGTAAAATACAGAATTTTTCATTTAGCACAAAATAGAAGAATTTATTATTATTATCATTATTATTGATAAAGATAGATATAGTTATTATTATAATTCTAAGCCGAATACTCCCGATCCAAATTTTCTTGAAGAATGACTAATTTTTTATTATTACTTCTTCACCATAATATTTTATCGGTATGAGGTCTCATACCATCAGAGAAAATTTAGGTGAAATTAAAAAAAAATATTAATGATTTTTAAAACTACAAAAGTACTCAAAAAAATTATTAAAATAAAAAATTTTATTATTATTAAATTATAAACATGAATATCATCAATCGTTACGGATGAATGAATTTATGTATACAATTAATTTAGCAACAATATAACAGACATTAAATATTATCGTAATAATATTTAAATCAATGTATATCGATATCGCTCTTACATATCTACATTATACCAATATATATATATATATATATATATATTAATTACATGTCTTCAAAAATAAGTTACATCTGTCGCCTCTACCATAAATTATCTACCCAACAATTATAACAATAATAATAATAAGAGTAGTAATAATAATAAACAATCAACTAAGAGACAAAAAATAAATCAACCTTTCTATCAGATAAAAAATCATATTTTCGTTAGATCGCAAGGTCTGATCCATCGCCAAGATAAAACTTTGAACCTTGAAACTGTTAGTATTAAAACTAAAAATTCCATATTAGTAAAAGTTAAAAAAAAAAAATTATAATTTAAATAAGATAAATTTTAATGAATTAAAAAAATCAGTAATTTTTTATCGTAACAATGTTATAATATTATTATAACAGTTTATTTAAATTCTGATTGAACGATCATAAATGTTAGAGAGTGATCATTAGATTATTCAGTGAACATATAATAATATAAAACAGATACACGAGAGGCCTTGAATATTTGATCATCGGTTTAATGCGTACGTTTTATCCACAATCGTTTCATAACGAGGAACGAAGGGACATCCGGTCTCCTATGATTAATGTACCGTTAATTTTTTACAATCGGATGCTGATAAGATTATATTTAATTAAAGGAGCTCAATGCAATATCACCCGGAACAAATTTTTTTTTTCATTATTTTACAATAAACTTTTATTTATTTATTTAGTGCCCCTGAACTCACTTGGGGTAAAAATGTTTGTTGTGCTTCTTAGATTACGTTACATTTAAAATTGTAAGGAAGGAGTCGAGTTATAAAAGTGAGTGTCTTACTGCAAGCGGCCAGTACGACGAATATTACAAACGAAGCCGTTGTTTTTAATTTAACAGACGGGTCGTATGTTTATAAGTTACTCGCGATAGCTTATCATCCTTTTAAATAGTATTGCTATTAAATGCTCTCTTTTATAAGTAGAGAAGATAGATAGCACTGTTTGAAATTAATTGTTCAAAAAATATTTTTTTATTTTTTTATTTTTTTATTAGTAGTCTAGTTTTTTTTAATCCGTAAAAATGGCTCAAGTTATTTCTGGAAAATTGACCAATACTCATATATCTACAGTTGGGTTCACTAATAATGAAGATTATGTCAAACATAAAAAATTGACACGTTATTCGGTAATAATTTTTTATTTTTTTTAAAAGAAAATTAAATTTAGAAATTTTAATTTTGTAATTAAAATTAATATTTTTTTTTTTTTTATTTATTTAAATTATGAAAAAATTCAATAAAAATTTATTCTTTCTTAATAAACTATATAAATAAATTTGGCTGGATTTTTTAAATTATTAATTTTTATAAATTTATTTTTTAAATTGTTAGTAATTTTTTTTTATTTATTTTAAAGAAAAAAAATTATTTTTAATATTTAATAAAAGCATTTGCAAGATTTTTATAATTATAATAATAATTGTAAGCATATAATTTAAAAAATTACATTTTTTATTAAAATTTATAATTTTCAGTACAATATTTTTTAATAATGTTTTAATTGTTTAATTATATTTTTAATTTTAGTTGTTATTAAATTAAAATAATAAGCATATAAATAAAACCAATAAAATTAATAAAATGATATTATATAATGTTAACAAGTTATATTAAAATTTTTTCATAAAACAACAATAACAAATTATTAATAATTAATCTTTTATTATAACGATTAATTAAATAATTAATAAAACAAGTTTGTGCATACTAAAGTGAATATTTTCACTAAGTAATCGTCATAATTACTGAGTATGTAAATGCAAAAGCCATCTGCTTAATAGAATTGTTTATTGTCATCAAGAACTTGATTTAAAAAAAAAAAAAACTTCGATTAATTGGAATAAAACTTAATTTTTTTATTTTTTCACTTCCGATTTAATTATTACAGATCATTTAATGATTTACCATCAGATTAAATTGAACTTAAGGCCTCTAATTCGTAGAATATAATTAATAATTCAATTTAAAAATTAAAAATAAAGAATAACAAATTTTTATTTAAAACAAAATTAAGAAAAAAAAATTTTTTTTAGAATAATTTATTAAAAAAAAAAAAAAATTTACCATTTATAATTATAAAAAAATTGTTTAACTAATTAAAAACAATTATTAAAAAAAATCAACTATTACGATTAAAACAAAATTAAGAAAAAAAAATTTTTTTCAGAATAATTTATTAAAAAAAAATAATTCAAAAAACCACAAGCAATTATTTATAAAAAAACCAACAATTGTTTAAAAAAAAAAATGATTTATTTAAATCGAACTATTAACGTCCAATTATCATAACAGCTTCTGTATTACGCAAAGATAATTGTTACAAATAATGAGTCTTGGAAAAAAGAAAATTAATCTTGTCTTAAATAAAAATAATCCATTAAAACTTACAAAATAATGAGGTTGTCTAAAAAGTTGTAAAAATAAACAAATTAAGGATGATTATTAGGAAGAAATACGATATTTATTGTCAAGATGTCTAGTAATGAGTTGCGTGCGTGTATAGTTGGGGCCTTGAGTCTATAACTTATTCGTACTTGGTTTTGTTATTATTGTATTATTTAATGTCTCTTTTGCATCATTGTATTGTTAGTACACATAATATATTTATAAGACTCAGATATGTGTGCAATACAATAGAATAGTTGTTACATATAATAATTTAAATTATTAACGAGAGTAATTTATTACCGCGAAACAATGTAGGCCCATAGTGTATTATATGCACCAGCATTGCAATTAGATCCGACTTGGAAAACTAACTTGTTAACTTAGCTGGTATTGAGTGAAAGAAACTAAAGACAAACAGAACAAAGATGTATATCTGCATACATTTCATGCCCATCAATTTATACTATTTAAAATATTTATGTACATATATATGCACACACATTACCTTATTAGTTAAGCTCTTAACTTTTGAGTCGGCTGTTATGTGTAAACATTTATCACTAAACAAATAGAGTAAAATAACTAGAGAATAAATACAAATATAAACACCAAAATTTAGAAATAAGTATAATAAAGTTACAAAGGCCATCAGTAGAAGACTAGTCATCAGTCAAGTCTGGTCACAAGCCACTGACATAAAATAAACCATTTCATTCTAAATCGAATTGTCAATTGATCAATACCCACATTCGATTCAGCTTGATCCAATTAGTTTATTTTGCTGGTTTTTTTATCTTTGATACTGTACTGCCATGGGTAACTCATTTGGAAATCGTTCTAAGTTGGCAGACACAATGGATGAGGCACCGAGGGATTATTCCATCCAGGTAATCAAGCAAGAAGACAAGCCGGAGGTACTAAAGTTTCTTCGCCGGTTTTTCTTCCGGGATGAGCCGCTTAATGCCAGCATTGAATTGATACCCAGAGGAGAAAACAGCACTTGTGTTCCGCTTGAAGAGTACAGCATGTCGTCCATTGATGAGAATTTAAGCTTGAAGGCCGTTTCTTCTGCTGGGAATATTGTTGGGGTTCAGCTTAATGGTAAATATATTGATTTTTTATTTTTAATGTTTTAATTTTTACTGTTTGGAGTTATTTATTGGGAATGTAGAATTTATATTTTAGACGTCGAGTTAAAAATTTCTGGATTAAGAAATTTGGATTGAATGTACTAAATTTTTTATAATTTAGTTCTTATTTTGGGCGGATTAAAAATTCCGTAAGGAATTTGGATTGTTAAAGTAATGTTAGATTTATTTTTAATTTTGGACGGATCAAAAATTACTTGATTGAGAAATTTGGATAAAGCGTGATAGTAAATTTGCTAGTGTTAAAATTTTGAAATAAATATAACGTTAAAATTAATAGAAATTTAATTATTTTTAGGGTTTATTAAAAATAGCTTGATTCAAAAATTTGAATTAAAAATAATAGTAGATTTGTTGGAATTTATTTTTGATTTTGGTCAATTCAAAAATTTTTTGATCAAGAAGTTTGGATTAAAATTTTAAAATAAACATAACATTCAAATTAATAGAAATTTGATTATTTTTAGGGTTTATTGTATAATTAAATTATTGCGGAAGAATAACTCGATTAAGAAATTTGAAATTGAAAATAATAGGAAATTTGTTAGAATTTATTTTTGATTTTGGTCTGATCAAAAATTGCTTTATTTATTTATTGACAAATTTCACATTAAAAATAATGATAAATTTATTAGAATTAAAATTTACAGAATATAACATTAAAATTAATAAACACTCGATCATTTTTAGGATTTTTTTATTTAAATAAATTATCGTAAAAAATTTAATAAAAAAAAATTCTATAAATAGAAATCTGAAAAAATTATAAGTATACATTTTTTTAAATATTTTTTTTTTATCGAAAGATAAATATATAATTAATTCACTACCAAAATTTCAGATCAATTGACCGCACCGTTTTTGAGTAATTAATTTTCGAAATTGCATCTTTTACACGTAGAGGTATAGAGAGATGGTAAAGTTAGTATTAAATCTATTTGAATCATTCGAGTGGTACGGAAGATTTCATACTAACTTTACCATCTCTTTATACCTCTACGTGTAAAAAATACAATTTATTAAAACAATAGCATCAAAAAATTAGTTTGAAATATTTTTATAAAGAAAAAAAAACAGCTTTAGTGTTAATTAAGACTTCAAGAAAATGACAGTAATTTTTCAATTATAAAAGACCATAAAAAGTAATGAGCTGTAAAAGAGATTAATTGCAATTATGAGGTTCGGATTATAAAATACTAAAAGAAATATTTTTATATATAAATAAAATGTATGAAAAATTAAAAAACTTTAAGTATAAAAAAGTAAATTTAATCTTGAAGAAAAAATTAGAAGAAGAATTTTAATCGCAATTAAGAATAAATGGCTGAGCGTTGAAGTAAATTAAAGCGGTACGATTCACGGTAATAGATTAATTGCTCAATGAAATTATTCAACTGGACGTAATTAAAATTAAAATTCAATTCCCATTAAATTAAATCATCATTAAATAAATAAAAATAACAATTATAAAACTTATTATTACATTATATTTTTATTTAAATATAATCTAATCTTGATTTATTTATTCTAATAAATAAATAATTAATTTAAATGCGCATTAATTTTTTATAGCAATTATATAAAAAAAAAGTTATATAAATTTAATATTAAATAGATAAATACTAGATATTTATGCCAAAAATTTATGGACAAATAGTGAATAAAATATAAATTTTATAAAAATGTTCATTTTGAAATTATGGCTTTATTATTGGTCCTACAAAAAAAATATAAAAGACAGTTTTAGAAAATTAAATTTTTAATAATCTTTATTTGAGAAATTTTTTTACATCACCATTATTTTCACCTTAATATAAAAAATTTGTCACCATTAAGAAACGAGCTTGTATCTCGTGAACCATTGACATTTTTAAAGATATAAGCTCATCCTGGTGTTACACTCATTAAGACCTTTCATTTGAATACCCACATCAATTTTTCATATATTTATATATATTTGTATATATGAAAAATATATGAAAATGCATGTGGGTACTCAAATGAAAGCTCTTGATGAGGGTAACATCGGGATGAGCTTATATCTTTAAAAATGTCAATATTTAAGAAAGTACAGAGCAATTTAACAAATATCTTGTGAACTATTGTCTTTTTTAAAGATATAAGCTCACCCCGATGTTACACTCATCAAGACCTTTCATTTGAATACCCACATCAATTTTTCATATATTTTTCATATAT